AAAAATATTCAATGGGGGCCAGCCCAGTGGTGCAGCGGTTAATTTCGCACGTTCTGCTTCAGCAGCCCCAGGGTTCCTGGTTTGGATCCCGGGTGTGGACATGGCACTGTTCACCAAGCCACGCTGTGGTAGGCCTCCCACATATAAAGTAGAGGAAGATGGGCATGGATGTTAGCTCAGGGCCAGTCTTCCTCAGCAAGAAGAGGAGGATTGGCAGCAGATGTTAGCTCAGGGCTAATCTTCCTCAAAAAAAAAAAAAAAATCTTCAATGAGCCTTTTGGCTCAGAGAAATGACTGTTTCCGTAATTTAAAGGAAAACATGTTGAGTGAGAAAATAGCCTCCAGGGACATCACGGTAGCAACTATCTTCTGGTCACAGACTATAGTTGGAATTCTGGACAACATCTCTCTTCTTTACCATTACGTATACTTTTACGACACTGAATGCAGGTTGAGGGCCACAGATTTGATTCTCAAGCACCTGACTATGTCCAACTCCTTGATCATTCTCTTTACAGGAATCTCCCAGACAATGGCAGCTTTTGGGTTTAAATATTTTTTCAGTGATGTTTCATGCAAACTTCTTTTTATGTTCACAGAGTTGGCAGGGGTGTATCCTTTGGCAGCTCTTGCCTCTTGAGTGTGTGCCAATCATGATCAGCCCCATGAACTCCCGTTGGAAGGATCTTAGAGTCAAAGCTCCAAAGCACAGAGGCTTTTCCATTTTCCTCTTCAGGAGCCAATTCATGTTTTTAAATTTAATGAATATTTCCTATGTATATGTTTGGCAAATGGAGCACCAAAAACCTCACTAAGAAAAGAGATTTGGGATACTGTTCTGCTATAGATCATGAGAAAATCACAGGCTCAGTACATGCAGCATTGATAGTATTTTCTGAAGTTTCATTTTCTATGCTGACTGACTGGGCCAGTGGCTCCACGGATTTTGTCCTGTACAGGCATAAGCAGTGGGCTCAACACATTCACAGGAAAAATGATTCCCCCAGATCCTCCCCCCTGTGTCCAGAGCCACCCAAAGCATTCTTGTCCTGGTGAGCACCTTTGTATCTTTTTATTCCCTCTCCTCCATCTTTCATATTTGCAATGCTCTTATTTACAATCCCAATTGGTGGTTGCTGAATGCTGCTTCCCTAATATGTGTGTATTTCAACTGTCAGCCCCTTTCTGCTTATAAGTTATGACTCCACTATAACCAGGTTCTTTGTATGGATAACAAACACTGTATATATATAGTAAGCCTTGAAGCCAAGTAGTCTCAGTCTTCTTGCTATTACGGGTCTTCTGACTCTCCATATAAACTTTAGGATATAGGATATCAAAGTTCATTGATATCCACAGAATAACCTGTTGGTATTTTGATTGGGATTGCATTGAATCTGTAGGTAAGTAGGGAAGAACTGACATCTTGACAATATTGAGTCTTCCTATCCATGAACATGAAATGTCTCTCCATTTATTTAGTTCTTCTTTGATTTTGTCCTTCACTTATATAGCTCCCCTCATGTAGATCTTGTACATACTATGTTAGATTTATATCTAAGTATATTACCCTTTTTGGTGCTAATGTAAATGTTATTTTGGTTTTAATTTCAAATTCCACTTCTTCATTGCTGATTTATAAGAAAATTATTGACTTTTATATACTAAACGTCTTAGTCAGTTTGGGCTGCTATAACAAAGTATCAGAGACTAGGTGGTTTATAAACAACAGATGTGTATTACTAATCTGGAAGCTGAGAAATCCAAGATCAAGGTGCTGGCTGATTTTCTGTCTGGTGAGAGTCCTCTTTCTGGTTGCAGATGGCTGTCTTCTTCTTGTATCCTCATACGGCAGACAGTAAGAGAGTCTCTGAGGCCCCTTTTATAAGGGCTCTAATCTCATTCACAATGGCTCCACTCTGATGAACTAATTACCTCCCAAAGGTCCCACCTGCACATACCATCACACCATGGGTTATAACTTCAACATATAAATTTTGGGTGGGAGACACAAACATTCTGTCCATTGTATTAACCATGTATCCTTCAATCATGCTATAATGACTTAAAAGTTCCAAAACTTTTCTGTTGATTCCTGAGTTTCTACATATCAATGTCAAAGATAGTTTTACTTCTTCCTTCCCAAGATGCATATTTTCCATTTCCTTTTCTTATTGCACTAGCTAGGACTCCCACTAGAATGTTGAAAAAGAATGGTGAGAGAAGACATTCTTGTCACTGAATCGTACACTTTGAGAGTGAATTTTGTGGTATGTGACATATACTTCATTTAAACAATCAAGCAGAAACATCTACTAGGTTCACGTTGAACTTAGAAAAAACGCGCTGACCCTGTCCTACAAAGCCTTGGAGATACAAGGTCCAGCATCCATTACAATAATGGAGGCCAGAGATGATAATGATTATGGCAATGAGAATGAAATGAGAGGAACTGGAGATTATTTTAAGGTAAAACGAATATATTGTTTTCCCCAAATCCAACTATTAGATTTGTGGGGTACCAAAAGGTTTCCCGACTCCACCTTACCAGATTTAGATTCCAGCTCACCATTTTGTATTGTCCCACTTCTTTAATTGAACTAAAGATGTAAAGGAAGTCTCCCTCTTTATATCATAGAGCACTTACTTTGCACCTGTTATTGTCATAGGTACGTTTTCATGTTACACAGCCTTAAAACAATTTTTAGTTTATGTATCTTCAAATTTTCTAATGGAAGTAACAGGGGGAAAAATATAAGTTAAATATAAAAAATGTGTTAGGTGTGGAAGAAAAAATAGTAAGAAAAAATTCTAAAGGAGCAAAAAGGATTTCTAATAGAGTTGAAAAGAATCATGTAATAACACTATAATCACAAATTGAGAGTTTTATAGCCTTTGAAAAACTCTCCTGGTAAAATTATTGAATCATATTTATTGTTTTATAAACACTTCCATTAATTATTATGAAACTACTGTAAAAAATATCTTAGGCAGTTTATCTAACAGTATTTCAGAAGCACTGTTGACAACTATATTGGGCAAAGGGTTCTATGTAGGCAGCAAGAAAGACATATAAGAAGTTATTAACATGAGGAAAACTGTGCTCTTTCCTAACTAAGGAATCAAGAGGTTTGACAGTAAAATATTCAGTGTTGTGTTAAAGTCTTACTCCATTTTTTGATATCTGACTATGGACAGCTTTTAAGCCTCAACCCTCCCTCAACTCCCCTCCCCACTTTTGGTACAGCTTATTGAGGTGTAATTGCTACATTTAAAAAAAAAAAAAAAACCCTGCTCATATTTAATACATCCTCCCTCTTCTTCTGCTCTATAGGTGTGCAAGCTTATAAGCCCAGTTGCTCCTTTGTTTGGTGCCCACAGGAAGATCAAACGACCTGCAGGATCCTGACCCCAGGGCCAACTCATAAACTCTATATAAACCCAAAACAAATCTACTTTCCTTGCTCCCAAGCCATTTTTTGTTCTAATTCAGAAGGCTGCCCTGCTTTCCTTGGAAAGTCTCATTACGCATTAAACATTCTCATCCCCATTTGGCATCTGACATTATCAATCTTGAAATCTAAACTAAATTTTGGATAGGGGTCCATCCTGTGTCTGCATGATATATGCAAGTGCAAATTAACTATTTTTGAGGGAGTCAATATGTGAAGTTCCTAGTCAGCCTAGAGACAAAACAAAACAAAACAAAATCAATCTTTCCCCCTTAAGTGAGTCTATTCATTCTTAAGGGGAAGCTCACGATCAGTGATCTGTTCAAATTACTCCAGTGAGAGCTCCATGCAGAAAAAAACTTTGTTTATATATTTATTTCTGAATTTTTTAAATTTTCTAACACTTTTTCATATACTTAACATATTTTTATTTTTTACCTCATGTAAATCAAGGCCAATGCAAGCCATGGGTCTTAAGTATGCACAAAAAAGGGCGTGTGGAAATATAATCATATGGTCCACACTTATGAATAGTACTTCAGATGTTGAGGGCAGTCTAAAGTTGCACCTCTATGGTATTTTAATCATAGCCACATAAATATCCAAGGGGCAGTGTGTGGAGACAGTAACTCAACTAACTTATGAGTACATATTGACAAAATTGTACAGGCATAACCCAAAGATATTGTGGGTTTGGCTCCAGACCACTGCAATAAAACAAATATCAGAATAAAGTGAGTCACATAAATTTTTTTGTGTCCTAGTGCATATAAAAGTTATGTTTACACTATACTGTAGTCTATTAAGTGTGCAACAGCATTACCTCTAAAAAAGTGTACACACCTTAATTTAAAGATACTTTATTGCTAAAAAAAAAAAAGTTAACCATCATCTGAGCCTTCAGGGAGTCATAATCTTTTGCTTGGTGAAAAGTCTTGCCTCAACGTTGATGGTAGCTGACGGATTGGAGTGGCTGTGGCAATTTCTGAAAATAAGACAACAATGAAGTTTGCCACTTTCATTGACTCTTCCTTTCATACACTTTCTCTGTAGCATGTGATGCTGTTTGATAGCATTTTATCCTCAGTAGAACTCCTTTCAAAATCAGAGTCAATACTCTAAAACCCTGTACTGCTTTATCAACTAAATTCATGTAACATTCTAAATCCTTTGTTGTCATTTCAATAGTCTTCACAGAATCTTCTCCAGGAGTAGATTTTATCTCAAAAAACCACTTTCTTTGCTCACACATAGGAAGCAACTCCTCACCTATTAAAGTTTTATCATGACATTGCAGCAATTCAGTCACATCTTCCACTACACCCTCAATTTGCAAAAGAAACCACACAGTACCTTTTAAACACAATAAAGCAAAGCACAATAAAACAAAGGATGCCTGCATGTTGTTTGATTCCACCACGAAAAGAAACTGTTGCATATGCCTTTCAACCGTGAGAACCTAAAGACATATTGTTAGTGCTTGTTATGAAGTAACACGATGATGTGGGATATATTTGATTTGATAGAAAAAATATGATTCATTTCAAGTTTTGGGAAAATGATTAAATTTTATTAAACATGACAACTATGATATACTGTATGTAAAATGGTATCAGTGATATAGTGCTTAAAGGCGAATCCTACACATGTACACCATATTCTGGTTTTTTGATTACATTCTCCTCTCTGATAATTGCTCTCTTTGGCTTCCAAGAATAAGATTAATTTTTCACTCATTTTTTGATACATACAACAGCTATTTTCTTTAAAAAGAAAGGATGACCATCATTTCTTTGCCATTATTTCTACCACAGAAGCAGTCCCTACTAACCTATCATACTATTCTCATCAAAATCTCAGTCTCTCAATCTTAAGGCCTGCTGTTTCGTGCTTATCTAGTAGAGCAATGACTTCTGATAATCCAGGGGCCCTCTGTTGTACCAACAAATTTGTAGAAGAGGATCCTGAACATGCGATTTACAACATTTTGCATATATTCTCAGCCAAAGCTTATGCTCTCATTCAAAACCACACATTATTGTAAGTTAAAATTCAGAGTCCTCATTCTCTCAGGAAACGTGGATATGATTGATCCTCACCTAATAAAGTACGCCTGTTTATCTATCTCATTGATCTCCTCCAACAGACCATCATGGCAACACAGGAAAAATATGTGATGACGGCATAAGGTCAACAAACTTCAAACTTCAGGTTGGAAGACATCAACAGTAACATAGCCTCTTCAAGAAACCTCAAATAATAAAAGTATCTTAAACATGAAGAAATGGTACACTTTCAAAGATCTCCTTGCTCCACAATACTCGTCATTTCATGAGTTTCAAATGACTTTGACTTTTAATTACAGTGAAGAACTTAATAGCTGAGGATGATTAATCTTCTAGGACTACAGACTTAGTCCTCCCTAGCATAAATTCTCTGCAGTATAGTCTATTGTAAAAAATGGTTAAACGATTTACACCATTCATTACATTTCTAAGATTTCTCTCCAGTATGAATTCTTTTGTGAATCCTGAAGTCAGACCATTGTCTAAAGGCCTCGCCACATTCAATACACTTGAATGGCTTCTCTCCAGCATGCATTCTCTCATGACCCCAAAGGTGTGACCGTTTGATAAAAGCCTTACCACACACATTACATTTGTGTGGTTTCTCTCCAGGATGTATATTCTGATGTCTAGTGAGGCTTGAATACTGTTTAAAGGCCTTGCCACATTCATTACATTTGTAAGGTTTCTCTCCAGTATGAATTCTCTGATGAATTGTAAGGTTTGAATTTTGACTAAAGGCCTTGCCACACACATTACATTTATATGGTTTCTCTCCAGTATGGATTCTCTGATGTCGAGTAAGGCGTGAACACCAGTTAAAGGATTTGCCACACTCATTACAGGTGTAAGATTTCTCTCTACCATGAATTCCCTGATAATCCCCCAAGCTTGAGCTTTGAATAAAAGCATTATCACGTACAGCTGATTCATAATGTTTCTTTTCAGTATGCATTTTCTGATGTCTAGTAAGGTGTACAAATTGTGTATAGGCTTTACCACATTCATTACATTTGTAGGGTTTCTCTCCAGTATGATGTCTCTTATGTTTAGTTAGACTTGAACGCACAGTAAAGGCTTTGCCACATTCATTACATTTGTGAGGTTTCTCACCAGTATGAATCCTCTGATGTTCTACAAGACTTGGTCTTTGGATAAAAGCCTTACCACATTCATTACATTTGTATGGTTTTTCTCCTGTATGAATTTTCTGATGTTTCACAAGGCTTGAAATGTGGATGAAAGTCTTGCCACATAAACTACATTTGTGTGGCTTCTCTCCAGGATGTATATTTTGATGCTTAGTGAGGTGTGAGCACTGCTTAAAAGCTTTGCCACATTCATTACACTTATAAGGTTTCTCACCAGTATGAATTCTTCGGTGAATCCTGAGCGTAGACCACTGCCTAAAAACCTTGCCACATTCAACACATTTGTATGGTTTCTCTCCAGTATGAATTCTCTTATGATCCCAAAGATACGAATGTTTGGAAAATCCCTTACCACACTCATTACATTTATAAGGTTTCTCTCCAGTATGAATTCTTTCATGACGCCAGAGGTCTGAACATTTGATAAAAGCCTTACCACATTCATTACATTTGTGTGGTTTCTCTCCAGTGTGAATTCTCCAGTGATTGGTAAGATGGGAATTTTGATTAAAGACCTTGTCACATATATTACATTTATATGGTTTCTCTCCAGTATGGATTCTCTGATGTCTTGTGAGGTTTGAGAACTGCTTAAAGGCTTTACCACACTCATTACATCTGTAAGGTCTCTGCTCAGAATGAATTCTCTGATGACTAGTAAGGACTGAATAATGGCTAAAAGTCTTTCCACATTCATTACATCTGTGTGGCTTTTCTCTGTTTATTTTCTGATGGTGTGTAAGCAATGAAGGATACATGAAAACTTTTCTATATTTATTACACATGTTGGTTTTGATAGTAGGAGGAGGAAATCTTTGAAGTGGTGAAATTAAGGAATACATTTTGATAGACTTCTCAACTTGATTACATTCATAAATTTTCTCTTTAGTTTGAAATCTCTGCAATTCAGCCAGATGTGACTGAAAGCTTAATCCAAGTCTATTTTCAAAACATTTCATATACTTGTTTCCTGAGGAGACTATGTTTTTTATCTTTAACAAATTCTTTATAAATGACTTCGCATGTTTGAAATGTTGATATGCACTTTTTCTTAAAGAAACATTCTGCTTTAAAGATAAATTAATGCAAGATTTGTTGCCTTGTTTCTCTTTTTTACTACTGAGATTTACATTATCTGTCATAAGCACTTCTTCGGAATTTCTTTCTTCATATCCACACGTACTCTCAAAGTCATACATATTTCTCCAGACTTCCCCAAAGTCAAGATCCTCAATGTCATGGCTTTTATGTCTTCCCAAGACCACTGGTTGGTATAATTCTCCAATATTAATGTCTTCCTTTAGTAACAATTCCTTGATCATAGATCTAGCAGAGATATCTGAAAGATAGGGAAAAAAATCTTCATATTAACTAGAGTTGGCAGATGAATACTACACTAAAAGTAATATTTACATAGAATAGAAAAAAACTTCTCAACATAGGTCTACAAATGTTTAATAACAGAACACGTTAATAAATGATTACCTGTATTTTAAATTATTTTTAAGAGAAGCCTACTTTCAAACATGTTATAACCAAATTGCTCACACTATGTAAACAAATAAGCTCTGAAAGAAAGTGTATTATTTCACTACCACACAAAAACACAGAGTGGCAACAGACAAACGGGTGTCTCACATTTCAAGAGAAAAAGATATTATACAAATGCACATTTACATAATTATTGCACAAAAAAATGCTAAAGTACAGCATTATATGAGGTTATGATAAATAATCCATTAAAAACAGCAGACACACTGAAAAGCCTGGGAAGAAAGGCTGGGGAGTTTTTTTGTGGTTGAGCTCTATGAGTTCTTTGTATATTTTGGATATTAACCTCTTATCCGATATATGGTTTGCAAATATCTTCTCCCAATTGTTAGGTTGTCTTTTCATTTTGTTGATGGTTTCCTTTGCTGTGCAGAGGCTATTTAGTTTGATGTAGTCCCATTTGTTTATTTTTTCTATTGTTTCCCTTGCCCAGCCAGGCATTGTATTTAAAAAAGTGTTGCTAAGATGGATGTCAAAGAGTGTACTGCCTACATTTTCTTCTAGAAGTTTAATTGTTTCAGATCTTACATTCAAGTCTTTAATCCATTTTGAGTTGACTTTTGTGCATGGTGTAAGATAATGGTCTACTTTCATTCTTTTGCATGTTGCTGTCCAGTTTTCTCAACACCATTTATTGAAGAGACTTTCCTTTCTCCATTGTATGTTGTTGGCTCCCTTGTTGAAAATTGGTTGTCCATATACATGTGGGTTTATTTCTGGGCTCTCGATTCTGTTCCATGGATCTGTGTGTCTGTTTTTGTGCCAGTACCATGCTGTTTTGGTTACTAGTGTCTTGTAGTATATTTTGAAATGAAGGAGTGTGATACCTCCAGCTTTGTTCTTTTTTCTCAGGGTTTCTTTGGCTATCGGGGTCTTTTGCTGTTCCATATAAATTTTAGGATTCTTTGTTCTATTTCTGTGAAAAATGTTGGAACTTTGATTGGGATTACATTGAATCTACAGATTGCTTTAGGAAGTATGGGCATTTTACCTATGTAAAAACAAGAACAACATCAAAAAAAACCCCAAAACAAATCAAAACAAAAAAAGGCTGGAGAGTAACATGCTTTGGGGAATAAGGGCTTTTAAAAACTGCCACATATTCATAGAACTCTAAGTCATAGACATGCCCAGGGCTGGGTGAATGTTCAGAAAACATATGAGAAGGCCCTGAGGTCTTACCTCCAGCTAATCTTCAGTCTCAGCAAAAGCAGGAGGTAAAGGTGAAGGCAGCATTGTAAATTGTCAACCTGAGTTTTACAGGTATTCCCAAACACACAGAGTCTGTCACCAAAGACTGGGAGTTGACTATTTTGGTTTTTTGTTTTGATTTATTCGGGGGTTTTCGTGGTTCCAGGTGTCTGAGAAATTCCATGTTGAACCACTACCTAACCACTAAGCTAACTAAACAGAGACTTGAGTAGCCACACATGACAAAGAATAAGGAATAGCAGCAAACCAATGCTGGGGTGGGGAGCAATGTGACTTCCAAAGTTGCCATATAATAAAATTCAAAATATTCAGTTTAAAAAAAAATTACAAGGCATGAAACCAACAATGATGTATGGTCCATACACAGGAAAAAGTGAAATTTAACAGAAACTATCCCCAAGGAAGCCCTGATATTGGACTTTACTAGACAAAACAATTTATATCACTATATTAAATATCCTCAAAGAGCTAAAAGAAACCAAGTGTAAAGAACTAAAGGAAACAATGAGAACACTATTTCCCCAAATAGAGAATATCAATAAAGAGAAATTATAAAAAGAAACCAAATAGAAATTCTGCAAAAGAGAAGTACAAAAACTGAAATAAAAAAAAGCTAAAGGGTTTCAACACAGAATGGAACAAGCAGAAGAAAGAATTAGCAAACTTGAAGATAAATCAATTGAGATTACCTAATCTCAGCGCATAAAGAAAAAAGAATGAAGAAAAATGAACAGAGAACTGCGGGACACCTTCAAGTGTACCAACATAGATAATGGGAGTTCCAGAAAGAAATAAGAGAAAGAAATGAGCAGGAAAAATATTTGAAGCAACAAGGCAAAAACACTCCAAAAGTTTATGAAATTCACAAATCTATATATCCAAGGAGTTCAACAAATCCCAGGTGAGATAAACTGAAAAAGATCCCCAGTAAGACACGTTATAATCAATCTGTTCAACGACAATCTTGAAAGCAGTAAGAGGCAATTTCTCAGGTGAAAGAGATCCTCAATAAGATTAACCATTGATTTCACATCAGAAACCATGGAGGCTAGAAGGCAAGGAGATAAAATTTTCAAAGCGTTAAAGAGAAATAACTATCTACCAAGAATTCTATGTACGTCAAAATTATCCTTTAAATAAAGGAAAACTTAGGACATTGTCAGAAAAACAAAAACTGAGAAAGTCCCTTGTAAGCAGACTAGTCCTACAAAAAACACTAAAGGGAATGCTTCAGGCTACAATAAAAGAAGAAACAGTAACTTAAATCCACATAAAGAAATAAGGAAAAGTAATAAAGACACTACATAGGTAAATACAAGGCCAGTATTAACATAGTTTTGGTCTGTAATTCCTTTTTTCCCTATCGATTTAAAAGACAACAACATAAAACAGTAATTCTAAATCTACATTGATGGACAAACAATGTATAAACTGCAATTTGTGACAAAAACAATAGAGGAAGGAGAGGCAGGAGATGTATGTGTGTATATATAGTATATCAAAGTTTTTATATACTATTTAAATTAAGTTGGTATTATTTGAACTAGATTTTTATAAACTAATATTTTATATGTAATGCCCAGGACGACCATTAACAAAACAATTAAAAAATATATAGTAAAGGAAACAAGAAGTAAATCGAAATGGTACATTAGAACACACCTAACACAAAAGAAGGCAGTAATGGAAGAACTGAGGAGAAAAAAAGATATAAGACACACTGAAAACAAATAGCTAGAGGGCAGAGGTTATTCTTTATCACTATTTAAATTAAATGTAAATGGATTAAACTCTTAATTAAAAGGGAGAGGTTGGCAGCATGGATAAAGAAAAAAGGATCTAACTATATTCTGTATGTAGGAGATTCCCTTTAGATACAGAGACACAAATATGTTGAAAGTGAAAGGACAGCAAATGATTCTGTTATGGGCCAAGGGGTCGGCTCAGTGGCGCAGCGGTTAAGTGTGTACGTTCCACTTCAGTGGCCCAGGCTTCGCCGGTTCAGATCCTGAGTGTGGACATGGCACTGCTTGGCAAGCCATGCTGTGGTAGGTGTACCACATATAAAAGTGGAGGAAAACGGACATGGATGTTAGCTCAGGGCCAGTCTTCCTCAACAAAAAGAGGAGGATTGGCAGATGTTAGCTCAGGTCTGATCTTCCTCAAAAAAAAAAAAAAAAAAAACTGTTAAGGGCTGAATTGCATCCTCCCCCAAGAAATTGATATGTTGAAGTCCTAACCTCCAGTACCTCAAAATGTGACTGTATTTGGAGATAAGGTATTTAAACGGGTAATTAGGGTTAAATGAGGTCATTGGAGTGGGCCCTAATCCAATGCCTGGCCTCTTTATAAGAAGAGATTAAGACAGAGACCCACACACACAGGAAAGACCATGTGAAAAAGCAGGGAGGAAAGACAGCCAACTACAAGCTAAGGAGAGCAGCCTGAGAAGAAAACCCTGCTGACACCCTGATCTTGGCCTTCTAACTTCCAAAACTATGAGAAAGTAAATGTCTGTCGTTTAAGCCACCCTGTTGTTTAAGCCTGTGGTACTTCGTTATTACAGCCCTAGCAAACTATTACAGATTCCATGCAAAAGGCAACCAGAAGAGACCTGGAGTGGCTCTACTAATAACGGAATCTAAGTCAAAAATTTCTATGAGACGAAGAAAATTGTATATTTAAACAAAGATAACTCGGGGCTGGCCCTGTGGCCGAGTGGTTAAGTTCACGCGCTCCACTGCAGGAGGCCCAGTGTTTCGTTGGTTCTAATCCTGGATGCGGACATGGCACTGCTCATGAAACCACACTGAGGCAGCGTCCCACATGCCACAACTAGAAGGACCCACAAGGAAGAATATACGACTATGTACTGGGGGGCTTTGGGGAGAAAAAGGAAAAAAATAAAATAAAATAAAAATTAAAAAAAGATAACTCATCAAAGAATTACAACAAATATGAACTTATATAGACCTAAACAAAAAAGCCCTAAAATATACGAAGCAAACATCGACAAAACTAAAGAGAGAAATAAAAATAGTTTGAGAATATTTGGAGACTTCCAGACCCCACTTTCAATAAGCGAGAGGAGAGCCAGAGAGAAGTTCAATGAGGACAGGAAGACTTGAGCAAGACTATAAAGCACCTAGCTCTGACAGACACATACAGAGCACGCCAGCCAATGACAGCAAAATACACATTCTTCTCTAGATGCACATGGAACATTCCCCAGGATAGACCATACAGTAAACCATGAAGCAAGTCTCAATAAACTGAAAAAGGCTGAAACTATGTAAAATATTTTTTCCAACCATAATAGAAAGAAAGAAGAAAGAAGTAACTGCGGGGAAACTGGAAAGTTCACAAATATATGGAAATTTTGAAAACACTCTTAGAAAAACCAGTGGATAAAAGAAGATCTCACGAGAGAAACTAGAATATAATTTTAGAGGAAAGAAACAAAAACACAATGTACCAAAACTTATGATACGGTATAGCATGGCACTGCTTATACTCCTGCTGAGTAAAAGCAGTTTTACTGCTGGATCAAAAGATCCACCCCACTCCCCTGTTACACACGCTCCTTTTGTTTTTTGAGGCAGATAAGCCCTGAGCTAACATCTGCTGCCAATCCTTCTCTTTTTGCTGAGGAAGACTGGCCCTGAGCTAACATCCATGCCCATCTTCCTCCACTTTATATGTGGGACGCCTGTCACAGCATGGCTTGCCAAGCAGTGCCATGTCCACACTCGGGATCCCAACTGGCGGATCCCAGGCCGCCGAAGCAGAACATGCGCACTTAACCGCTGTACCACCAGGCCGACCCCTACACACACTCCTTGATGTGAGGCAAAAGCAGAACTGAAGAAATGGCTGGGGCATCTGAAGAGGCAGTGAGGGCTTGAAACAGCCCCGTGCACTTTCCTGGGGCCCCAGATGCTGACATTTTTCCATCCTGCGAGAAGGTCTCCCAAGTACATGAAATGGGAATAGAAGCTGGAGAAGGCCTGGGGCCCAGACTGTGAAGGCTTCAGTTCTGATCTGTGTGGACGGAGAACTGTGTATGAGAACAAGGAAGAAAGAGGACCCCTTATAACCAGCCCTCCTGGTGCACCTCAAGGTCAAGCTAGCAAAGAGATCCTCCGGGGCAGGTAAGAGAACGTTCTATGTCATGATAAAGATTTTGCCTTGGTCTTTGCACGAGCTGGTGGGTGGGAGGAGGAACTTTTACTCATCTGAAGAAAACAGTGATAAATGGAAGGGAAGAAAACTTTCCTTTGAGAGCCCACAAGAAATAAACTTTTGTTTTCCCACAGAACTCTCCCACTTGTGGAGAGTTTCCCAAACATGATTAACGGTGCGGCTTCCTTTCCGTCGAGCTAAACTCTTTCCTCTGTTCACACCTTTGATACATTCCCACCCACTTAGTTTTTTCACTATTTTCACCTGGCTTTGCACAGTCCAGGGCTCTTTCCCATGCTCCAAAATGGAGATAATACTCAGGCCAAAAAGAGACATTTCTGCTTATAAGAAAGGAACATGATATGCTGTGGCTTTTCCAGAATACAATTTCATCCCTTTGTTCAGCTGAGGAGAGAGGACATTACACACACGTCTAGAAAAATATTTCACAGATTTGTTCACTGACTATCTCTTTCTGAATGCTTAAGGAATATTTTTAAAATATAGATGTCTAGCTCCCCTCCAAGAACTACTGAATCAAAAGGACAGGCGTAAAGCAGAACCAGAATCAGATATTTTTAAACGTCTGCCATAAGGTTTTGTGATTACTTGACTTTGGGAACCACCGTTAATCTAATGTGGAGTGGGCAGATCACCTGAAGAAAAAGGAAGGTGAAAGTCTAGATGCTACATCATGAAGCTTTTCATCTCAGAGTCAACCCAGCATCAATCGCAAGTGAGCATGGCAGGGTCTCCCGAGAGACTTACCAGGGCAGATCCTGACTTCTAGAGGGAAGCTCTCCTCACCCAGGGAGAGCAGGTTCCTGCAGTTCTCCAGCATCACGTCCCTGTACAAGGCCCTCTGAGCGGGGTCCAGGCACTCCCACTCCTCCTGAGAGAACTCGATGGTCACGTCCTTGAACGTCAGCAGTTCCTGAAAGGAAAAACACATTTCACTAAGGGACAATGGGAATCATTCTTCTCTTCAAACAATATGAGAGCAGGAGAGAGGTGTAAGGATTGATTCAATTGAAGTGAATGTTCTGACAGATCATTTTGAGCAAGATAATTGTGAGCAAGTTATATAGCCCTAATTTTGCTTTATTATATTTTTCCATCAGAGGATATCAAATCCACGAAATCACAGTAGATTTCACATTTTTGTGGACAATAAAAAAGACACATACATGAAAAATATTCAACACAGGGTTGTTTACACGGACATGGTACATATTATGTTCTACACACTGAGTGATATTCAATATCTAGACAAGCTAATGCATGAGTGGTACCTTCAGGGATGACAAAGTCCACAGACATGCACAAATATAAATAGAACTTTCCATTTAAAGTGAGATATTTAGCAATTATGGAGTTTATCAGCCTGATGGAGTTTAATCCACTAATAAAAAAATGATTCAAAATGAAAAACTGTACTATCGTATGTTAAAGTAGCAGATTAAATAGAACAAAGATTTATCACAGCAGTAGATCTTTGAAGAAATACTCGATGATTAAAAATCATGCCAGGGGCCAGTCTGGTGGCGAAGCAGTTAAGTTCGCAGGTTCCACTTCGGTGGCCCACGGTTCGCCGGTTCAGATCCCAGGTGCAGAACTATGCACTGCTTGTCAAGCCATGCTGTGGCAGGCGTCCCATATACAAAGCAGAGGAAGATGGGCACGGATGTTAGCTTAGGGCCAGTCTTCCTCAGGAAAAAGAGGAGGATTGGCAGCAGATGTTAGCTCAGGGCTAACCTTCCTCAAAAAAAAACTATGCCAGGCAAAAAATTAAAAGAACTGTTATCAAGCAAGACAATTTCACCAGGCATCATAATCTGCAGTAAGCACTAGAAGAATTTCCACTACAGGTAAGGCTGAGGTAAGTGGGCCAGCCAGGCGCCTGCCATTCGCCACTGCACAGGATGCCTGAGCCAGAACCAGAAGAGGGAAAAGCAAATGCCAGTTAGGAATTTTATCATGACACCTAATTAGAAGAGATTTCCCAAGCTATGTGAAGAAATGAGGAGACTTTATTGAAGGAGATAACAAAAACATAATCAAAGACTGACAGACCTAATTCTTATTGGAAGATGTGGTGACATAAAGACGTCAGTCATTTAGAAATTCGGCGCAATTCAAATATAAAAGAAATGTGGAATTTCAAATAAAAAGTCTCCACTTCGTTGAGAGATAAATAATTTTGAAAAGAAAAATAAAATGGAGGGCCCTGGCAAATAATATGTGAACCTGTTAGTATACGTGTACACGTGTGTGTGCGCGAGTGTGGATTACACGAAACTTTGAAATCAATGAAATAAAATGGCTACAAGATATCCACAAAAAGGCCAAATTAAAAAGATTTCAGTAAATCCAAATTAAAGAGAGAATTTTAAACAAAGAAAGATTAGGACTAAAGAGAACACAGTATTTTGAAATTATGCTGGGTGAGGCCTTCAAGCAAGATCAGAAAGCAGAAGACAAGAAGGAAAGAGATGTATGTTTCACTGCAAAACAATGACAAACTAAGAAAGACACCAGGGCACACATAAAGAATTAAAGTACAAAATACAGAATAGCTCCTAAAATAAATCAAAGGAAAACTCAGCAAAGTATGAAAATCCATGTTTTATTTCCACAAAACAATGAAAGTTACTCACAAGTAGTTGGAAAATGGAAGCACAAACAAGGGATTATCATTTTCCTCTAAATTTTCAAAATACAAAAAGATAATGGCACCAAGTTTTGCTTATATCCGGGGAAATCTCATGTGCTGTTGGTGGGAGAGGGTACCTTTGCAGCTTTAGGGGAGGGCATCTGACAGACTCTATCAAAATACCAAACACACCATCCTTGACCCAGTAATCACATGTCAAGTTTCCCAACCTAGAGAAATCCTCAGACATCTGCAGAGAGGTCAGCCTGCTCAGACACAGCCACTGTGGCATTCTTCACACTAGTGAAAAATTGTAAAGGTCTCGTGTGGCTTCAATAAAGAGAATGCTCCAATAACCATCTACAAAAGAGCAAGCTATATCTGTGTTTACTAACATGAAAATAACTTCTAGACATCCATTATGTAAATTTTTCATATTTGCAGAATAAAATGTTACTCTAACAAACTTCATTGAAGAATTTTTTCCAAAACCTCATTAGAACATGTAAATTCATTTTTACAAGATTTAGCTGACTCTTGCCACAGAACTGACAACAGTGGTCCCTCACTGAGACATGAGGGATGGTGAAGGAAGTAACAGGGCAGGAGATACATTATATCTTAGTGCCTAAGTTGCTTCTTTTTTCAGAGTTTGACCACACACACACACACACACACACACACAAATACATATATCATGTAATGTTTAAAATAAAAGACATATAATAGTTAATAATAATGATGGAGCAAGAATTTGGATTCAGCCTTTTTGATGACAAAGACAAAGTTCTGTGCTCCACGTCTTGGCTGAATTATAACCATTTTTACCTAAAACACCTGCTGCACGAGAGACCCTGCAGGAAGACCACGGTTTCTGTGGGATGGACGTGCTAAGCATGATTTTTGTAAAACCTCTTATTGTTAGATATTTAGGTTGATTCTATATTTTAAAACCAATAATGGAATAAAACATCCTCTATCACTCATGTCTGTTTCTGAACTTTATTCTCTATCATTAACATTTTGGAACCAGAAACACCATGATTCATTTGTGTAGCTCTGAAGGCATTATAAAGTCAGGAACAGCTGGTCTCCTCTTATCACTCTTCTTTTCCAGAATTGTCCAACTATTCCTAGATATTAATACATGACTTCCCACATGCAGCTTCTTTCACCGAGATGTGGCCCAACCTCACAGACACCACGTGGCTCACACTCCATCCCCAATCCACAGATGTGAAGCCCTGCCCGGGACAACGCCCAGTGGAGGCTCCTCACAAGTTCCATGTCACTGGGTCGCGGTGAGATGGAATCTAAGTGGAGACGAGAGGGACTGAGGGAAGGCCCTGGGTGAGTGGAAGGAACATGTCAGGCAGGACACTTCAGAGTCAGAGATTAGCAAGTCCAAAGAAGGACATTTCAGGAAGGAGAGACAGATTAATCAACAGAGAGTATGACTTCACCTGGGAAAGAGCCATTCTTGACTCCTCTTCTTTCCTCTTCCTCCTCTTCCAGGCTTCTTCCTCGGGCAAGATTGCTCTTGAGAAGTCAACCCTGAGTGTCAAAAATATGCTGTTTAATGTTTTGAATCAACATGCCTCCTTCCTGTGCCACAACCACACACACAGGGAAGACCTCACCACGTAGCAAAGACAGCCCTGTGCTGCCCATAGCCACGGGAGGGATTCAGGGAAAATAAGCTCCCACACAGAGACCAACAAGTGAGGGGTTTGACCCCTTTCTTCAGAACTCGCTCCCCTCCTGGTGAAGCCCTCAATACACTGCCGCAGCGGGGACGTGAGATGGACTGACCCTCCCCTTCAGGTCGCAGACCTGGTCTTAATCAAACCCTATTCACAGCAGAGCCCCCTCACCTGTCCTTGGATCACAGGCTGATCCCATCCTCAGAAACGGAGGACCCAGAGCCTCGCTGCTCGATGCTGCACGCAGATCAGAATCACCTGGGACACTTAAAACATCCCATCCCACTTGACCATCTGAAGTGGATTCTCTGGGGACTCGGCACAAGAGATATACTTGCAAAACGCCTCAGCAATCCAACACAAAGCCAGGGTTGAGCACCCCTCAGAGGAGGCAAGCCCAGCACACCTCCCAGCTTGTGGCTCTGCTCTCCCCTTGGGCACTGCTGTCATGTGGATCCAGCCAGAGGAAAGGGAAGGAACAGAGAGAAACAAGCAGAGTGGGCAATACGGACCAGACGTGGGGGTGAGGGGGTGGCTGGATGTTAAAAGGAGGCAGGGAGAGGAGACAGAAATCAGAGAAGGTGCCTCTGAGAGGTGATATCAGAACACAGACCTGAGGAAAGAAGGGATTTTGTCACCTGCAAGTGAGGGGTCAGTGACTTCTAGGCAGAGGGACACCAAAGTGAATGCCCTGAGGCGGTGGTGTTCCTGGCTCCAGAAAGGGAAAAGCAGCCTGTGTGGCTGGAGTAGACCGAGTGAAGAGGAGCCAAGTAAGAGCTAAGATCAGAAAGGGCTGTGGTCTTCAAACATTCTTCCCTGTCCCCAAGATTTTTGAAAACCAAGTATTCCCTTAATCATTTTTTTATTTGTTTTGTCCTAAGTTAAAATACTAACAAATAAAATAATATCTTATAATATTCTGAAAACACGCTGGGACGCTCATCTAAATCCCAGGAAGTACAGGGTCACCCTCTGCTGAGATGTAGCGGGAGGACTGCAGAAGAACACATCTGGCGGAGTTCAGGGGACCATTTTTGAACATATGAAGATGAAAACGCCAGTCATTATCCCAGCAGAGATGTTGAGGAGACAGCTGGATACAGAACTCTGGCTTCAGAGGAAAAGTCTGGGTGGAGAGGCGAAAACAGACATTAGTGTTTAAAGTCAAGAGATGCGATGGAAAAGCAGTGGGTGTGGACAGAGAAGAGAAGAGGTTCAAGGACTAAGTGCAGAAATGCTCTCAGAGAGTAGGGGGTTAGGAGAAACAGGCACAGGAAGCTGAGACATAAACAGGGAGAAAAAAATTAACACTGGTGACTGGTAGATAGATTCATTTTCTAAAAACAGTGTGATGTGAAAGCCAAGAAAAAAGTACTTCAAGAAGAGAGAGTGCGGCATGCTGGTGAGAGGACGAGATGCTGACTAAGAATAAACTACTGATTTAGAAATGGGGAGCTCACTATGACTCTGATAAGGAAAGTAACAGTGGAATGTGGATGTGAACATGAGAGCTGGAAGCAAGAATTGAGGCAGAGAGTATAAACAAGGTTTTAGTGTATTTTGCTCTGAAATGGAGCACAAGAAAGAGCACTGATTAGAGTGGCAAATGTAGCTAACAGAGGATTTTTTGTTTTAAAAATGGGAGAATGTAGTAAAAGCCTCCTCTTTTTTTTTGAAAATGGGACAACATCGCCATCTGTATATGCTGAACATAACAATGGCCTAGAGGTAAAAATTGATGACATAGTGGCAGTGGCCAAAGGATGCTATACTGTCCTGAGACTGCTGTACTGCCAGCCCTTATAACCCCTCCACAGTTGTGCTCAGAGACCCACCTCCAGCAAGCCCATCCCAATGAAAACCCCAGCCACCCATCACCCACTGTTTCTCTTCTTGACCCAGACACTCCTACAAGCTCCCATGGTGTTCTATACTCCCAGTGGACACCCCACAATATTACAGGAAAGAACCCTGTGATCATCTATACACTTTCCCATAGAATCCCACACCGCATTCCTAACATCAATCTTTTGTTGTGGCAGGAAAACACCCACCAAATCCAGGATCCCATACGTTCCTTCCTGGAGACTACCCTAAAGTCAGGCACTGCCATAATGTCAAAATACAAGAGTACTGTCTCCAACGACCCACATTTTCCAACAAGACTCCGATATCTTCTAATGAAACACCCCAAAATGTCATCTGTATCCCACAAAACACATGTGACACCCTCAGCAATGCTTGGCCTCTATTTTACCCTCGCTTTTTCATTCTTCCTTTCTCACGGTTTTTCCCATTCTCCCTCAGACTGTCTCTACTCCGCCCCCTACCGTGCACATTCACAGATATGGAATAAAGACGTCCCTTGCCCGGGAACAGAGCTTTCCAGCAGAGCTCCAGGAATGTAAACACACCACAGCAAGCACAGCCAGGGGGATGCGATTTGTGCAGGAGAAACACAGTGTCACCGAATGGGTGCAGCTCACCTCCCCCAGTGCAAGAATCAGACATCTCCCCTAAGGCGGTGACAGCAAAGTGGAGGACTAAGGAGGGGAGGAGCCCGACTCCGGAGGACAAAGAGATGGAGCAAGTGTCAGGAAAGCGGTGGGGTTTGCGGAATCCCAAGGCCAAGGAGATGTGGCGTCCATGTATGCACTGCCATCTCTGCCTTGGAGGGGCAGAGAGGGGCGAGGCTGGGGAACAAGGGAGGGAGAAAGAGAATCCACCTGCGGAGTAAGGACTTCACACAGCGCGGCTGCGAGGGGAAGGGGACGGGAGCCTGCGGGAGTCACCGAAAGGTTCTGAGCAGGAAAACGACGCAGCACGCGGTGTCTACTGCACCCAAGGCGGGAAGGCCAGGGACGGGGACCCGCCTCACAGCGATTTTAAACCGAAGCAGACCGGGACCTCCGGACCCGCAGCGGAGCTACAAGGGCCTGGAACGTCTCGCGGTGCTGCCGGGACTCATCGGGCGCGGAAAGAGGCCATGAAGGGGTTTTAACGTACGCGGCGACCCCTAAACCTTGGCTGTTACGGTTCCTTGAGTCTGAGGGCGCCGCAAAGATCAGGGTTGAAGCAGAAAACAGAGACTGACTCACCCGATCGTGCCCCTCGCTCCTCTTCCGGGTCTGGAGGAAACTGCGCGTGCGCGGCGCTACAGGGGGCGGGGCCGGTGAGGTGCGGGGCGTGGACAGTGGCCCGGAAGAGACAAAGTGCGCTGCGAGACGGGCGCGGGCCGAAGTAGGGGCGGGGGCTGGAGGCAGAGGGATCTGGGATTACGCCCGCCCTCGCACCTTTCCGGAGCTGTACCTGCTTCTCAGCTTTTAAGTGTTTAGGAATCTCTTTGTCGTCCCGCGGACCGAGGCTCTTCCTCGCTATTTTAAGGCAATGTCAAAACCTATTTAAGGTAAAAGATTAGAGTTGTGAGGGTTACTTATATTAGAAGCTGAGATGTTTTCTTGTTAATTGAAAACGGTTGAAGTCAAAGTTCTTTTTGCCAGCGGGTAGTGGTGGAGCATATAGTTAAAAATAAAATCATTTCCCAACCCAGAAATCCTCTCCACAAAGCTAGCAGAAAAAGAAAACAGTTTCATTATTGAATAAGCATTAAACCAGACTGTGATGGGGATCACAGGCAGTCGGCTAAGAGATTGCAAAGACAGAAAGAACTCTCACAGTGTCGTATAAGCCAAGCAGATACAACCCATTGCTTTTTACATACATGTTCTCAAGATAAAAAAAAAAAAAACTAGTCCTTATGTAAGACGACGTGACAGCACCATTTGTCAAACATGCTTCATCCTAACTTCATCAGGTAATTGGGGTGACCATCCGTGTCAGTTAATTGGCTTTATCCAAAGGAAAAACAAACTTCTCACATCTCGCAAGGCACCTGCTGAGTTAAGCACCTACCCTCCCACCGGAAACTAGATTAGTGTGCTATCTCCCTTGATTTACATTTCGAAGAGATGCCTCCCAGGTCCTTAAAGAAACATTCCTGGGTTACAAAATTGGAAAGGGCCTTATTTAGCTTTTTAAAAGACACACATTTCAAAGAGGCAGAGAAAGAATTACAAGTTTTCTAAAGGAAATGCTCTAAGAAAAGGGAGGCGGAGAAGTCTCTTCCCTTTCTTTCAACAGAGAATTGTCTTTTTTTCCCCCTCTTATTTTTGATTTGTATTTGTCCTTATAGAAACAACATGCATTCATTCATTAAGGCAATACTTTTTGAACATCTACTATATGTTCACAAGAATAGTAGTGTGCGCACTGCCTCGGGAACTGTGTTCGGAACCTCACATAAATTGAGTTAATCCTTGTAAATACCTTGGGAATTCAGTATTATGTGTCCACCTTGCCCAGGAGGATTAGGTGCTGGGCTTTGCCTTTCTAGGGGTAGAAATTCTCTATGTCTCTTCTGTTTTCTTATCACTGATCATTAAAATGATCTTACATGTGATGGTAGCGAGAAGGCAGAAAGGAATGGTGGGGTTAGTGGTTCTGAGGGATTTTTTGATGGTTTGTCCATTTGTGTTCATGTGTTTTGTTTGTTTTTAACATGTAGAGTGACCAATGGGCCCCCAGGAGTTGGAGACATGATGCTTCCAGGAATTCTCTACTCATAGGTTATAACCAAAGAAGCAAATTCTGTTATCAAATTTTAAGTCCTTTGCTCCTGACACATAAATGAAAAGCAATGGGATATATTGGAGTATATGAGGAAGCCATTTGTTGTAAAAATAATTTGACCTGATCTTGTTTTTCCAAAAGGACCTGACGTGGCCTGTCGAGCATGCATTATACATCTGCTTTAAACATTTGCTATGTCCCAAAGACAAGAATGATGCCCTTAAAGATAGAGATGTAGCTTCCACCCATATTAGCATTTCTTTAAGGATAAGCATCTCTTCCTAGAAACTAAGGATTTATTACTAGCCTGCTGTGCTCACCTGTTGACCACTAGCCAGCTGACCACTGACCTGCTGTGCCAACTGAGTATCTCATGACAGTAGTAAAAGAGATATTCCTGTCATAGGTGATGCATGCTCTTTGTTCCTAGACAGTATATAACCACTCTGTACACTCCAGTTCTTTGGTTCCCTTCCTTCCTTTGGGAAGGAAGGCCCCGGGCTATAGTCCTCAGACCTGGCTCATAATAAACTCACCCCAATTTTGATTTATAGATTGATTAGGGATTATTCCTGTTGACACTCCCCTTCATGTTCATCTGGGTGTCTGGAAATTCTGAGTCCCAGTTCCAGGCGGGCAGCAGGAGGAGCCATCTTGAACTAGGTTCTGCTCTAAACAGTTCTGAGAAGGGAAGACCTGAGGGGGATGGGATGGATGGGAGGGGTGCGAAAGGCAAATTTGGCATCTAAGAGGTTATTTTAGAGGGGACCTGCACTGATGATTCCTGGACTGACGGACAATACATGCTCAACAGGCCATGTTAGACCCTAGCGACCCCAGCTAAGCAAAGAAGATCACCTCTTGGGTGCAGATTCTGGAGGCAGCTGAGCTCTGTGCACACAATTGTGGAAGGCCAGAAGTATGGAGTAGAAATTCAGGAAGTTTTGGGAGGAGTAGTTTTAGCCAGGACTTATGGGCTACTTATATGTTACATAGCACAGGATAATTCTGGGCAGCCAGTCCCAGCCCCTGTGCAGCCTTAGGGACATGTATTGTAGGATGCCCTGAGGGGCTGCCCACTTTCCTATGTGTGCATGCCAGAGGATTTGGGCAGGAAGGAAGACGCAGAAAGGGGGAGAGCAGGGGAAATCAAGTACCCTGGGGGACAGTGTGGGATGGTGGTGGAACTGGTTTGTGCTACAGATTCATGTCCAGGCAGGGCTGAGCTCTGCAGCTTCTTCCTAAGGGCTTGGGGTCAGACTGGATTCTGGTTGGATGATCAGAGCCCTAAATCAGGTAGATGGACCAATTCGCTGCATGTTTGGATCCTGAGAAAGGGGTGCATATGACATAAGACTTCAGAGCAGAAGTGCAGCAACTTGGGCAGAAACCTATAGTAGCACAGTGGGGCTCCCATGGGCAGAGTTTGGTCCCAAGAGGGACAGAGCCACACCAAGGTCCTGTGCACATGCGTGGGCATAGGCACAAAGTGCTGTGTGGTGGCTTGGCATTCAAGTTAGGTACCCAAGGATCCTCCCTCCCTAAATTCCCTGGAGAAGATGCATCCCAAAGACCTGTGCTCAGATGAGGTCTTGCCCTCTCCCAGTGACCCTGATTTTGTTATAGTGCTTGTATTGTCTAATTGTGACCATAAAATTTATGATGCTGTTATCAGGTTTTTTTCCATGATCAGTGAAAAAATGGCAAAGGGGAAAATATATTTATTAATACAGCTTCTAGGTTCTTGTTCAATTTAACAGTCACAGAGACCTCTGAGTTTGGTGACTTAGAACGTCTTCCAGCAGTTAATGATGGCTCATGTATGACAATGTGAGATAATAGAAAATATATTTATTGGTCTCTGTCCCTGCCTGGCCCCTAGCACAGAGCCCTTAAAACCCTTGTAATCTCCTAAGTGATGAGAGCACTAGGAGCATCTTTTGTTCTATTTGGTCTTACCCTGACTCCTGGCACTAAGCTCCAAAATTCGTTGGAATTTTGTGGATGATAGTGTCTTTTGTCTTTTTTTCTAGTGAGTTGAATCTTGGTTGGCTCCTAGATGGGAGATGGTCACCAGAAAGACCAGGCCATGATTAGAAGCTTGAAACTTCCTGCCCCCATCCCCCACCCCACCCCCAATCCTCCTGGTAGAGGAGTAGGGCAGAAAATGGAGTTGGTGATCCATCATGCCTATGTGATGAGGCCTCCATAAAAATCTCAAAAGTATGGGGTTCAGAGAGCTTCTGGGTTGGTGAACACATGAAAGTGCTGGAAGAGTGGTGCGCCCAGAGAGGACATGGAAGCTCCAAACCCCTTCCCACATACCTTGCCCCAGGCATTCTTTCAAATGGCTGTACCTGAGTTATATCCTTTTATAATAAACTAGTAATCTAGTTACTAAACTGTTTTCCTGAGTTCTCTGAGCCACTCTAGCAAATTAATTGAACCAGAGGGAGTCTTATGAATTTATAGCTGCTGACAACCTGGACTTGCGATTAGCATCTGAAGTGGAGGAGGGGAGAGTCTTGTGTGACTGAGCTCTTAACCTGTGGGATCTGAAGCTATCTCCAGGTGGATAGTGTCCAATTTGACTTGAATGGTAGACCACCCAGCTGGTGTCACAGAGGATTGTTTGGTGGGAGAAACACTACCACACATTTGATAATCAGAAATGTCAGAAGTATTATGCGTGTGAGTAAAAGAGAAACACAGGAATGTGTTTTTCCAACTCAGACAGGGACACAACAGAGCCACAATGAAGACACAGGGCCCTTCAATGCCATTCAAAGGGCATACCAAGGTTCTTCGGCAAATTTTTTATCATTAAAGTTTCTAACGTTCCATTGTTTAAATATGATGTGTCTTTATTATTTTTTGAACTTTACTTGGTGTCATAATATGTAATGACAATGTTGAACTGTACTCCAACTCTCTAATTCTGGAAAATAGCAAAGGTTAAAGAACCCCTCACCTTCACCCACATGTTGCAGGAAATAGCCTATTGCGAGGAACCACGCTTCCTAAGTGACTTCAATAGGACTCATGATAGGCCCCTTGTTTACCTAGGAACAAGACAGATACAGATGCTCCAGAACCCCATCCTTTGTCTCATTAATGTTGTCTCATCAATTGTTTGTCCACACTGATGAATACAAACTGAAGAAAACCAGAATAGTATGTCACTCCAAAATATGCCACTTAAGCATATTGATTATTTTGAATTAAAGGCACTTAAGAAACAGCCAATGAGAGAAAGACACTGACCCTCTATTGTCTTCCTGAAAGCAGGAGATCAATCTCTCATGTGAAAGTTACCTTCCTTGTACCAGGAGGAAAGAAGACATTCTTATCACCCGAGACAGGGGATTTGGGGCTGAGAAATCTGTACAAACAAACCTTGTTAAACTAGCCCTTATCTTACTACCCCTAACCCAAACCCCTTTCTCTTCTCAATTCTTCACAAATTTATTGTTTTTTGTCTAAACAGTATAAAAGCTTCCTGCTCTGACTACTTCCTCAGGCCTTTATTCTCTTGTGAAGGCTCCTATGTACA